TCCTTTACGATCGGTTACGATGCCTAGAGTACGGAGACCTGTACGATTTCGTCAACTTAGTGAGTTTGATAGGGGCCGTATAGTGGGACTTCGGGAAGCTGGACTTTCTTTTCGGGCAATTGCAGTTAGAGTGCAAAGAAGTGTAGACACTTAAGGCACCGTTTCTCCACTACCAGGTCCATTGCAAATGAATGGTTTGCAGAACACGGAAGACCTATTGGCATGCGAAGTGTTTACCGACGAATGAGAAGTTTTGGCTTGTTTTCTTACCGGCCACACTGGGTCCTCCCTTTAACTCGAGAACACCGACGTAATCGCCTTGAGTGGTGCAGACAACGGTCACTCTGGGATCAGGAATGGAACAGTATCATCTTTAGTGACGAGTCTCGATTTTGTTTAGGCATGCACGATGGTCGTGCCAGGGTTAGAAGGCGACGTGGTGAAAGGAGGAATCCACAGTTTTTTGTTGAAAGACATGTTCATCACACTGTTGGAGTTATGGTTTGGGGTGCTATAGCTTATGGTTCCAGGTCACCTTTAATCTTCATTAGAGGTAACATGAACGCGCAACGTTATATCCACGAAGTTCTAGAACCCTATCTTTTACCCTATCTTGACACCCTGGCAGATCCAACTTTCCAACAAGATAATGCCCGACCACATGTTGCAAGAGTCACAATAGACTTCTTTCAACATGGCCACCAAGATCTCTCGACTTATCCCCAATTGAGAACGTGTGGGATATGATGGGTAAGAGATTGCTCAATTTGCAACGTCCTCCTCAGACTCTAGAAGCACTTCGAGAGGAGTTGGTGGTTGCCTGGAATGAGATACCACAGGAGGACATTGACCACCTGATCAGAAGCATGCCTAGGCGCATTGGAGAATGCGTAGCACATCAGGGTGCATCCACACATTATTAAAGGTCAAAGGGCTTTGAAGCAGTGCAATCATTTTGAAATTTTTATCATTTACTTATTATGCTTCATTAAGTACTTATACAAAATTTTATTAAAATAAAACCATTTAAACTGGGTGTTCGGATTTATATGTCACTTAGTATATTACAGTTGTATATATAGGGTAGGGTGACTTCGAAGTTGAGTCATTTATTTTAACAGTGAGTAGATCTTATCAAAAGAAATGTTTTTTTCCTTTAACATTTTTGTGGTAAAATTAAAGTAACAAAGTTATAGCCCTTTAGAAGTTTGAGTACCGCCCTGTCTCAATAATAATATTATGTGCTCGTGTTTGGCGACAACGGATATACTCCGCCTTATCGGTTCATCGCATCGGAAACAAAAAAGCGAAAGAATTTGAAACGGTGATCACGATGTTTTTATTCAGTCTGTGTCAGTCGGTAACGCGTGAGTGAATAGTGGTGTTTGCTGCGTGGCTCAAACGAAATAAAAAATGGCACATATTTATGCGGATCGGTTTCCCAATCGAGTGCAACCAACCCCTCGTGCCTTTGTTAATGTAGTACAACGGGCTCGTGAATCAGGTGACTTAAGACCTCACAGGGGACTGCATGCCGGTGCTCCAAGACCTCACGATCAAATACAGGTCCGCACTGAAATACTTGTCGGGAGGATACTTTATAAAACAAGGTAAAAAATTTTTTTTATTTTTTTTCATTTTTACACACATATTTTGGTTTATCTTCCTTCTACAATCATTATCTGAAAATTAATGACTCAACTTCAAAGTCACCCTGTATATGTAGAAGTAATTTGTAACGTTTTTACAATGTTATTGTTGTTTGCATTGGGAAAAATTGAATGTCTTGTTTTTGACTGAAATTTCGGCTGTCTCATTTTTTCACCACTTGACCCTAATTTGATATGAGTACATAAAACGTCTTTTATACCGTTTTGTCAAAGAACTTCGGAATTCCCTGCGTGGGAAGTGAAATCAGCTCATCGCCAGCTGCGAGAAATACTCTCTGCCCGACGAAACTGTAGCAAAAGCATAACGATAATAATAAAAAGGTGGTATTACGGCCAGTGTGAAAGGACCAATACGCACTTGAATATCACAACAGGAGGTGATATTAGCATACAGGCCACTAAGACAGTATCGTTTTATGGTCGAGAGTCCCTCTCACTATTGGAACAGTCCTTTATGCCCTAGTAAATTTCAGTTGCAATTTTGTCAAGATGTCTGGGACAGGTCCGTAATGGACAGTTTGTGCATGATCGTTGATAATTGGGCCGTGTTATGCATGACTTGACCAAACGACAAATCTCTGTTTTTCAGGAGGATGAATAAACTTTAACAATTCATTAAAAATCAATACTACGATTGTGTTGAATGATTTTTGTTCTGTGAATAGAAAATGATATTACAAATTTATGAAGCAATCGTTTTTTCAAAAACTCTTATACGCGAAACTTAATGAGATGAAATGGCGCTTGGTCAAATATTGCTTCCGAAAAGAATGCTCATTTTTCAACACAAAAATGTTACTTGGTCATGCTTTGCAAAATAAGGAGCGCATTAGAGATTGATTCTTTATTTTTGTATTTTAGTAATTAGCATCAAATTCATTGAAAAATTAATACTACAGAAATTAAAACATTCTCGAAACCAAATAAGAAATTGCTTGAATGATAAATGTTGTAATAAACTCAATGATATACTGATTCAAAAATAAAATGAAGCAAGGAATAACCACAAATTTCCGAAATGGATCAAGAACCTGAATCGAAAATTTGTATTATTCATCTTCAAGCTCGAAATCTGGTTAAATTAGATTCCTATAGAACTTCTTGGAATCCTTGGGTATAAGACTTTAAATCGTCTAGCTTCTTTTCTGCTTAGGTTTCCCATTTGGCCACAATTTTTCGAGGAGTTTATTAAGCAATGCTTGAATCGAAGCATTCGATGGTCTGCCACGTCTTTTCTCAATATTGCTCACTTTATGCAAACCTTTGATAGGGCAAAGGCCAATTTCACACAAAATCAGGTCGTTTGGTCATGTGTTGCAAAATAAATAACAACAAATATTACTCTCGGCGCTTAGTTAAAAATGTTTTTGCTTTTAAACCTCAGGTCTCTATACTGCTTGCATTTTTTTTATAGGTAAGTTGAACTACTGTGCATCAGATGGCAGCAAAATCCGGAAATTTATCAAATGGCGCTTGGTCAAGTCATGCATAACGCGGTCCAATTATATTCTGCTTGAAGATAGCCAGAAGGTATTAAAGACATCCATTTAATGCAATAAGAATAAGACATTAATCAAACACCTTCAAGACTTTTATTATGTATTCTAGTAGAACTTAGCCTTTTAAAAAATTATAAACATTAGTGAACATATGAGAAATCTAAATGCAGAACACCTAACTAAAAATTAAAGTAAAACATATTTTCTTGTTTACCCAAACATGATGAAAATATCCAATTTATTTTCAACACTTTTTTAAAATTCATATATTTTTAAAGCAATTTCATTATTTTACACAATGCAAAAACAAGCCGTTGAAGTTTTTAATTATCTGTATTTTTAAAGCATTTTCTTTTTCTGGAATCATTTGAGAATGTATCGCGAACATTCCATTTTAAAGAATATCGGCAGAAGGCGCCATCGGAATCAATCTCAACGGTGGAACGCAGTTGTCAGGCTTTACATGTTTGGGGCGTTGCCGCCCCGCAAGTTATTACATAGAATCCTATATAATGTCAGAAAAAAACGACAAAATGCCAACTTGCTGACTAGATAGATCCTAATGGGCAAATAATTCATTCCGCATTCGCTCGCTACGAGTGCTGTGAGGTCACCAAAAGCGACATCTATAGAGGAATGACTCAACGACGAGCTCAATGACCATGCTGCAAGTCAATTCTATAGCATGCTTTGTTGGTTGCAAATGCTGTGGTAGAGCATATCTCTGAGAACGTGTGACAGAAAGAAGATTGGTTGAAGAGAGGTTATGTTGAAAGTTCGAAATAACGACCTCTCCTTTCTTCCTGCGGTGTCGAGAATTAAGGGAAAATCTGCCGAGGTTTTTCCCAGTTCTGCATTACCTTAGTCAGTTCAAAAATCAACACAAAGTGTCTCTAACGTCCTTCTACCATTCGCGGTGCACCTGAGTTTCTGCCTATGCGACTGCATGAGAATAAAAAAAATGATGACAGTTGAAGTGCAAGGAAAAAGTAGGTATAATCAGAACCCGGGTATTCCTCTGACTTCTGTAGTATGGTCATCTTCTGTATCTGCTGGGCATAGACCAAAAGTTACGAGGTTTCTGCTTCACACCTCATCTCTAGCTCTGTACATTTAGATCTGACCATTATGACCACTCCCATCGTCTCTAAAGGTATCCATCTGATCTCGATCTCTGTACATTTAGATCTGACCATTTATGACCATTCCCATCGTCTCTAAAGGTATCCACGAATATTCAACGGTCAATAATCTGAATAAAGAGTTCATAAATACATCAACTCGAAGTGATCCAGGCGTTAAAACATCATTCCGTAAACCGTTTTTTTTTTATATTTTTATTAGAAAAACAGCCGTACACTTTTGGTCCTCGCTTCCTTTGACATTTTTCAAACTATAGTGTATTTACACCCAAGATAGAATGGATGCGTGATTGCCAAAAGCCAGGACGGCGTACAGGGTCGCATTCAGGGCTACGCTAAGCGATGTGAATACGAAAACACGAGCATGCAGTGATACACGCGACGGTCGGTGGCCTGAATGCAACTCTGCCTGCTCTGCCCCTGCCCCGTGCATTATTCTGCCAGGCGACCGCTTGAAATTTAATGGCGAATTGACCAATAAGAGGCGTTGTCCCCACATGTTACCGAGAGATCACGCGCTAACTGTTATTATTTACATCTCATCTTGAATTTGGATTCAGTTTATATATATATCGAATCACCCTTGGAAAATTTAAACGTACGCCTATGTATATTCGACTTTAGTAATCGTTGCGCCATCTCTTGGTTATATATTTAAATACCAAGTTACTCAACTAACTTGGTGAAGAAAACTATCTCACAATAACCAATGACGCCAACAGTAGATACAAAATATAACCAAAAAAGGAACCAAACAAGAGTTCAAAGTTCTGTGATTCCTGATCTAACCTCCTAACTTTTTTGTCAAATAGGTTATGTAATTTGATAAGAACAGAAATAAAACATCGTCTCCAAACACCAAACCAGGAGATTTATCATAATTTATCAATAGCCATCTATAATAATGGCGAGTCTAGGAAACTGTGAATCTCCAGGTTGCACCAGTCCTGCTAAACTGCAGTGCCCCACGTGTATCAAACTAGGAGTACAGGGTAGCTTTTTTTGCACACAAGAATGTTTCAAGGTAAGCTTAAACCAAGCCATTTACGGGCGTTCGTCTCTCATGTGGCTTATTTCATCGACCAGCTATTAGAAATATTTTTTATATGTAGCTGTCCTTCGCTGTAGTTGCTATACTTAGTAGAAATCTATCAGTTCCAAGAAACCCAAAAATCGTAGGACCTCCCAGTCCTCTTGACAGCCAATTCCTAAATTTTAGGTTCTCTATGAGACCATCAGTTCTTCATTCTCTAGGTGGAATATTGATGTCGATTTACCATAGAAGACCTAGTCATAATCACATTTATAAGTTTACGCAGGATATAACAATGTCAAAAGCGTGAAATACATAGTAACACTCAACTAACCTTTTCAGGTGTTGCGCTGATTTATGAAAGTTGAATGAATCTCTTTTAGAACAACTGGAAAACACACAAGATCATCCACTCATTAGCCAAAGGGGAAAATGCCAGTGGAGACAAACAAATGGAATACAATCCATGGCCCCATTACAATTTTACTGGTAAGCTGAGACCATTTCAACAGTCACCAAAAAGAACCGTGCCTGAGAGTATACAAAGACCTGATTATGCAGACCACCCCCAGGGGTTTCCCATCAGTGAACAGGCTGTAAAAGGATCAGGGCTGATAAAGGTGCTAGACGATGAAGAGATTGAGGCGATGCGGGTTTCTTGCAAATTAGGCCGAGAGGTAAAAATTTTTATCCTACTGTTACCTTGTTATAAATATTTTCATTTGTGCTGGCACTTTAATATACATAATGAAAAAAACTACTCAAGAAGAGTCATCATGTACTGGGGAAAACAACACCTATTTTAGTAGAAGACTGGTGTACAATTTTTTTTATAAAATAATGTTCAATCATAGAAACTCATGTTTACAACTTTCTTTCACATTTTTATGTACTGAATCTGCCCAGGCACAGAAGTAACACCTTGTATATCATTAAGACATGGCGCAATGACCTTGCAAGGCTCTGCTGATTTATTAGGGTTGAAAAAATTATCAGTGAAACAGATAGACATACTTGAAAAACAACAGCAGTAGTAGTAGTAGAAAACAACTGGCTATACAGGGTGTCCCAGAAGTCGATGTCAAGCCGAAACTGGGTGATAGGCAAAGTCATAACAGCTATCAGAAAAATATTTAAAATAATTTTATGTATGTGTTTTGATAATTATAGGTCTTTGAAAAAGATATAGAAATTTCACACTCTACGGCAGTCTGTCAACTCCTGTTACTACAAATATTAACTTTTTTTGGATTTTATTTTTACAATGTTATGGTGAATAATGCATCTTCAAACTGGTGTCTCAACCTTACTGCCAACTTTTCTCGTTCAGGAAAAATTGACACTTATTTCCCAACCAAGTATTCCAAAGTAAAACTTTGCTCAACTTTAACTGGCTGTACTGGAAAAAAATGTACTATGAAAGTTTGGCAAGTAACCTTAAAAGTTGGTGCATTTAATAACGATTCCAAAATGGTATAACACTTAGAAGATTACTCGTTAACTTACGCACAATTTTTATTTGAAGAAAAACTGATGAAAATTTTTCAAAATTTCCTAATTAAACAGCGATTATGAAAACGCACAAGGACCCTTAAGGATAACTGTTTGCACAGCAGTGGGCATCAAAATGCTGCTGATGATGATTTACCTTTACAGCAAATGCTCAAACTGTTTTCCTTCAGCCGCAATACACGCTCGACATCTTCTTAAAAAAGATCGGGTTATTAAACGAGCGAATCCACGATTATTAACAAACTCAGCTGCTTCCAATAGTCTTTGCCGTAGATCAGCTACATTTTGAATCGGCTTGAAATACACTTTTTCTTTTACAGTTCCCCAGTAAAAAAATCTAAAGGATTCAAATCAGGTGATCGGGCTGGCCACGGTATTGTACCAGACCGCCTTATCCATCTGCCTGGAAAGTTTGATCAAGATACTCTCTCACTGAGAGTGCATAGTGCACTGGGCAACCATCATGCTGAAACTACATGTCCCTGTAAATACTCAGTGGCACGTCCACCAATAAATTTTGTACATGATTTTTCAAAAAATCCGAATAAACTTCAGCAGTCAAAGTCTCTGTGAACTCATACGGACCGATTATTTTACCATTTAAAGTTCCTGTCCAATGGTTTATCTTGAAGCGATATTGAGATTTATCTTCTCTCATCAAATGTGGATTTGCTAGGTGCCACTCGTGTAAGTTATGCAGGTTCATGTACCCATCTTTCTTAAATGTGATCTCATCCAACCATAAAATTTTTTCAAAGAACTGTGGATCTTTCCTGTGTCTTTCTAACATTGTGCGACAAAAAGCAACTCGGGGCTCATAATCCCGGGACAGGAGAGGTTGAACACGCTGTATGTGGTATGGATGAAGCACATCACTTACTGGCTATTGCACACTTTGATACCGATCAGTGCTCCTTCGTTTACTGCGCATCTTTACCTGTTCGTGCTTGTTGATTTCGTACTGTTACTAATTTTGGATTCGTGAACTGGACTGTTGATCGCTTGTGATTTGGATTTGGACTGTTTAATTGCTCTTCAAAACAACATTTGCTTTCCTTAGACTATCTTTGATAGTGTGATTGTGCAGTGCCGCTATGTCCGTGTACACCGTACAAGAATATGCTAACATGCACCTCATTTATGGGGAATGCAGATGCAATGCTAGTGCTGCAGCAAGACTTTACTGTGAGAGGTACCCGAATGCAGCTCGTCATCCAGATCATCGAGTGTTCACAAATGTGCACCGCTTACTGTTCTCAGAGTGCCAACTACCAAAGCAATCACACGGTGAGGGAAGATCTTTCCTTCCTTACGAAGACGTGGTGCTAGGAGCTGTCGAAGAATACCCGAGTACTTCAGTGCGTGCAATAGAACTAAAAATAGGTGTGCCCAAAAGTACAGCCCATAGAATCTTGCAAAAAAACGTGCTCCATCCATACCACGTACAGCGTGTTCAAGCTCTTCTGCCCCGGGATTATGAGCCCCGAGTTGCTTTTTGTCGCACAATGTTAGAAAGACACAGGGAAGATCCACGGTTCTTTGAAAAAATTTTATGGTCAGATGAGACCACATTTAAGAAAGATGGGTACATGAACCTGCATAACTTACACGAGTGGCACGGAGCAAACCCACATTTGATGAGAGAAGATAAATCTCAATATCGCTTCAAGATAAACCATTGGACAGGAATTTTAAATGGTAAAATAATCGGTCCGTTTGAGTTCCCAGATACTTTGACTGCTGAGGTTTATTTAGGTTTTTTGCAAAATCATTTAGAAAATTTATTGGAGGACGTCCCACTGAGTATTTACAGGGACATGTGGTTTCAGCATGATGGCTGCCCAGCGCACTATGCACTCTCAGTGAGAGAGTATCTCGATAAAAACTTTCCAGGCTGATGGATAGGGCGGTGTGGTACAATACCGTGGCCAGCCCGGTCACCAGATTTGAATCCGTTAGATTTTTTTTACTGGGGAACTGTAAAAGAAAAAGTGTATTTCAAGCCAATTCAAAATGTAGCTGAGCTACGGCAAAGACTATTGGAAGCAGCTGAGTTTGTTAATAACCGTGGATTCGCTCGTTTAATAACCGGATCTTTTTTAAGAAGACGTCGAGCGTGTATTGCGGCTGAAGGAAAACAGTTTGAGCATTTGCAGTAAAGGTAAATCATCATCAGCAGCATTTTGACGCCCACTGTTGTGCAAACAGTTATCCTTAAGGGTCCTTGTGCGTTTTCATAATCGCTGTTTAATTAGGAAATTTTGAAAAATTTTCATCAGTTTTTTTTCAAATAAAAATTGTGCATAAGTTAACGAGTAATCTTCTAGTTTTACTTTGGAATACTTGGTTGGGAAATAAGTGGCAATTTTTCCTGAACGAGAAAAGTTGGCAGTAAGGTTGATACACCAGTTTGAAGATGCATTATTCATCATTACATTATAAAAATAAAATTCAAAAAAAGTTAATATTTATACTATCAGGAGTTGACAGACTGCCGTAGGGTGTGAAATTTCTGTATTTTTTTCAAAGACCTATAATTTTCAAAACACATACATAAAATTTTTTTAAATATTTTTCTGATAGCTGTTATGACTTATCACCCGGTTTCGGCTTGACGTCGACTTCTGGGACACCCTGTATAAACAATTACAAGTAATACATAATTTGATTTTTTCACAAATAGATCTAGCTTTTATTATATTTTCGTGTTTGCTATAGGTTTTAGATGAAGCAGCCAGAGTATGCGATGTGGGAGTAACCACAGATGAAATTGATAGAGTAGTTCATGAGGCATGTATTGACAGGGAATGCTACCCTTCACCACTAAACTACTATTGTTTCCCAGCATCATGTTGCACTTCTGTCAATGAAGTTATATGCCATGGTATTCCTGATACTAGGTAAGACGGTATAGGAATGTATTTTCATTTGTCAACCCTATGTATAAACTGCTATCGCAATTTTGACTATCTAGCACTGCATTAGTCAAAAGAGAACACACACATCACCTATGATGATAATAATAGCAACATGCAAATCTAGAAAATGTCTTCTCACCCATGCAAAAATCAAACCTATTCAACTCTAAAAGTGGTCCATTAATTAAAATTTATTTGCCCCATAAATACTCTTAAATTTTTGGAAGTAGTTTGAAATCAATGGGGGCCAGATCTGATGAATATGCTGAGTAATCTTGCAAGTCAAAGCCTATACTGATCCTTCCAATGTTTCCCTTTGAATGCATCTCACAATTTTTAGATTAAATTTGCATCAAAGGTCCCATTAATGTCTATCTTATAATACCATATCATGCATTTTTTAATGTCTTTGTCTACCTGTTGGTTTTGACAAGACATATTATAAGAAATTGTGCGATAAACTTGAGAGCAAGATCCCCAATGATGAATTGAATCCTGATCTCTATTTTTGTGGCTTATTTCTTGTATCTTTCACCAGGCCTCTAGAAGATGGTGACCTGTGCAATGTGGACATCACAGTGTACCACAGAGGGTTTCATGGTGATCTGAACGAAACGTTTTTAGTGGGAAATGTGAGTGAGAAACACAAAAAACTTGTGAAAGTGACTCATGAATGCCTGATGAAAGCTATAGAACTTGTAAAGCCTGGTGAAAAATATAGGGAAATAGGAAATGTAATCCAGAAACATGCACAAGCTCATGGATACTCAGTGGTAAGTTTATGTTCTTGCTCTTTGACAAAATATAGGGAATAAGCATGATTTTTTTTGTATTTTCTGTCAATTAAAAGCTAATATAATACTGTAAATATATATTTTATTCATGAAGATGTCTGAATTTATTTATAATTAAATCTTAATATAGTCGCTTTCACGAGTATCTAAACTAAGTGACATATAAATCCGAACACCCAGTTTAAATGGTTTTATTCTAATAAAATTTTGTATAAGTACTTGATGAAGCATAATAAGTAAATGATCAAAATTTCAAAATGATTGCACTGCTTTAAAGCCCTTTGACCTTTAATAATGTGTGGATGCACCCTGATGTGCTACGCATTCTCCAACGCGCCTAGGCATGCTTCTGATCAGGTGGTCAATGTCCTCCTGTGGTATCTCATTCCAGGCAACCACCAACTCCTCTCGAAGTGCTTCTAGAGTCTGAGGAGGACGTTGCAAATTGAGCAATCTCCTACCCATCATATCCTACACGTGCTCAATTGGGGATAAGTCGGGAGATCTTGGTGGCCATGGTAACAATGTGACATCATTATGTTGAAAGAAGTCTATTGTGACTCTTGCAACATGTGGTCGGGCATTATCTTGTTTGAAAGTTGGATCTGCCAGGGTGTCAAGATAGGGTAAAAGATGGGGTTCTAGAACTTCGTGGATATAACGCTGCGCGTTCATGTTATCTCTGATGAAGATTAAAGGTGACCTGGAACCATAAGCTATAGCACCCCAAACCATAACTCCAACAGTGTGATGAACATCTCTTTCAACAAAAAACTGTGGATTCCTCCTTCCACCACGTCGCCTTCTAACCCTGGTACGACCATCGTGCATGCCTAAACAAAATCGAGACTCGTCACTAAAGACAATACTGTTCCATTCCTGATCCCAGAGTGACCGTTGTCTGCACCACTCAAGGCGATTACGTCACTGTTCTCGAGTTAAAGGGAGGACCCAGTGTGGCCGGTATGAAAACAAGCCAAAACTTCTCATTCGTCGGTAAACACTTCGCATGCCAATAGGTCTTCCGTGTTCTGCAAACCATTCATTTGCAATGGACCTGGTAGTGGAGAAACGGTCCCTTAAGGCCAATAATCTTAGGCGGCGATCTTCACGGTCTGTTGTTCTACGGAGGCGTCCAGTGCCCCTTGCTCTTTGCGTACGGCCTTCTCGAAGCCATGCCTGACAAACCTAACCACAGTGTCTACACTTCTTTGCACTCTAACTGCAATTGCCCGAAAAGAAAGTCCAGCTTCCCGAAGTCCCACTATACGGCCCCTATCAAACTCACTAAGTTGATGAAATCGTACAGGTCTCCGTACTCTGGGCATCGTAACCGATCGTAAAGGATGTCAAGAACCAAAATCCGCCAACGTTGATTCTTTACTGCGGCTGAAATATTCATTTTTAGAGCGTTAGTGAATTAACAAAAAGCAGTATAAAAACCGGAATGTCCAACTGATAAGGCTGAAAATTTTTTCACTTGTTATTTACAGTAAGATAAATACATTCACCAACTTTTATTAAAATAAAACCATTTAAACTGGGTGTTCGGATTTATATGTCACTTAGTATATTATGGTAGAATGACAGCTGATTATCTTGTAATATTTCAATATTCCCCATATCCGCAAAGAACAAATAATTTTGACAGATCCGTCAATGAAAAGCAGACTGTGCCATATTTTGTTTTGCTTTTTTGTACACTTCAGATTCATTTTGTACTTGCTAACAGCCCCTTTATTTAGAAAAATTTCACTTGCTGATCAGCTGTTCACCTCAGTAGACGTCTAAGCCTGATGGAGACTCGTGAAATACTGTATAAACTGTAAAGAAAAATAATTAACCAATTTGTGAATCGCGAATTCCCTATTGTTGTTGCTGATAACTTGATAGTTATCGTTAAACCGCAATTGCTGACCTTTTTTACTTGATAGTGACATGAGATGACACGAAACACAAACATTGTGCGTCGCAAAACGCACAGAACAGGATAGTCCAGACGTAAAAGCAGCATTGCCAGATCAACTGTATTAATAATCTTTTTAGGTTCGCAGCTACTGTGGACATGGTATTCATCGTCTATTCCATACAGCTCCGAATGTACCTCATTACGCTAAGAACAGAGCTATAGGAGTAATGAAGCCTGGACATTGTTTTACCATTGAACCAATGATATCAGAAGGTAAGTCATATCTTCGAGTTTAGAAACCAATGGCCGTGTTCTCACGGCAACCCGATTCGGCACATGTATTTAAAGCGTTTTAAAAAAGACATTGTTAAAACTTATATTACACCCCGCAATTTTCTAGCTTTGTTTATCTAAAAGATCATACAATAAAAATATAGAAACGGGTTGATTTATAGCGGAATATCCCGTACCTCCTGATGATGGGAACATTTGATTTTCGGGGTTTTCACGTCCTTTCAGGTACTTGGAGGGACGAAATTTGGCCTGACAAATGGACGGCAGTGACAGCAGACGGCCTTTGGTCAGCACAGTTTGAACAGACTCTGCTTGTCAACGAGACGGGTTGTGAAATACTGACCAGAAGAAGAGAAAAGAACGGGCAACCGCACTTCATGGACAAATTGTAGTGTTTGAAAAACTGAATGGGGATTATTTAATTGTTTGTAAAGTGGAAAAGTGGATTGTTGGAATTGCATTTTTATTGATAATTTTAAGACACAACTGTGGATCCTAAATTCTAATTTTACAGGATTCTAAATAATACTTCTTTCAAAATCAACTGAATGAGTAGGCAGTTTTTGATGATTATATCTTGAGTCTCCATAGTTCCTCTGCTGGGTGAATCGAAATAAAATGCCAATATTTCTGGGATAGAAAAATGATACAAAAAGTTCGTAGGATGTGTAGTTTTCGAAATATTTAGGTGGGAACACATAGGTCCCAAAACATCCCCATACCGTGTTGCAGGGTGTTAAAATTATAATTAAAAATTATAATATAATAGCAATACAGACAAAAAAGGTTTCTTTAACTTCGCTAGAGAGGTAGAAACATTGATGTTTTGACCCCTATAGAAATGATATTTTCTACACCATTGATTTTTCTGAAACATCCATTACATTTTTCGGCAAATATAATCCGTACAAAAAACTTAAATTCGTCATAATTGACATTAAAAATTGTATGGACTTTCTAAGTGGGGTAATTCTCACCACAGCATTGTTTGAAGATTATTCATTTTTGCCCTCAAGGTTTTTTGTTTTTTAAATTAACCTGTCCTGAGCTCTCTTCTTCAAGTTTTTGCTTCTCTTTTATATTCAAGAGAAAATTCTACCTGGATCTTCGGTGTTTCACCTGCAATGCTAATTTTTTCAAAGAATTAATTTGTTATAAGTGATCGAGAAAGACTGGTGGTAGGGTTTGTGGGGACTCAGGATCTGCTTCACTTTCCCGTCTATGATATTCTCTACAAATCTGTTTTATTTCTGATACTGAGTATACTGTTTATCCATGTACAGCCCAAACGTCGCTATTTTTTTACCAATAGCACACTCTATGCTAGCTCTATCAAATAGAGTCTAAATCAGAATTGTTACCTTCTGAAATCAAGGTATCGCCACCATTTTTTTATTTGAAAAGATTTAGATAGAAGCTTATCGAATAAATTATCTCGAAATATGAATTTTGTTTTTGCATTACCTATCCTAGTCTTGATATTAAAGTACCAGACTACCGACTATCAGTACCATAACATTTATTTTGATACCACACAATTATGACACTATTCAACATTGGCTTTCTGCTATCTGCACCTTCCTCAGAGATCGACGGCCTCCCGCTTCGTGGATGTCCACGCGACCGACAAAGAACCCTCTTCTGCATTTGATGACATGTTGAATGCTTATACACGTTTTTCACATGCTTCACTCAACTGGCGATGATTTTCTATGGATTAACGTTTTTGAGTGAAAAAATCGGATGACCGCACGAATTTCGCACCTGCGCATTGCCAATAGGCGTTTCTTGTTGGGATCTGTGATGGGAGACCCGACAAACACGACGGTGTCGCCAGATTTCGCCTAGCTTCACGCGTGGCAAAGTTACAGCCTTTGGAACGTAATTTTTGAATCAACCCTTGTATACAGACGGAAATTAAACGTTTTTACGTGATAATAATAATAATGTTTATTGTCACAAAATACAGGTAAATATTAAATATTGTGCACAATAAACATAAAGCACCCAAAAAAGTTTGTACTTGTGTTTGGGTTTGTTGAAAATGAAAACTAAAAGTACAGTCAGTGAATATAAAAAAAAACCGTTAATACTGTATAATTTGGTGAATTGAATTATTATGGTAATGTCAGGAAAAATATTGATTTTGATAATGATTTTTCATATCTACAATTTTGTGGATGGAGTACCTTGGTTGTTGTAAAATCCATTTTTTTTTTAGTTTTTTTTTAAATGATGTTTGATTTAATTACTTTTAATGAATCTGGTATGAAGTTATAGAATTTTGGTCCTAAGAAAAACAAAGATCGTTGTGTAGTGGATTTTGATCGAATCTTGTTGGGTAGTTATGAATGGTAGGATTCAAGTATTTCGAATATTTAATATAATGTATTGGACCATAATAAAAATAAAATTGTCTGCAATCTAATAGCTGAGCCTCCACATACAGAGAATCACTTGAATAAGTAATATCCCTATGAAGGATCTATTTTAGAATTAAATTTTGGATTACATCAACCTTTTAATTATTCATAACTCCGCCCAAGCCAAAATTCCGTAAAGTAATAGAGGATAACTAAGAGCAATAAAGATTATATAGATATTTCTTATCCAGAATATCTCTGAAGTACCTGAATTTTGGAATAATACATCTCAGTCTCTTCACAAGGTACTCCCTATGGGTATCCCATTTTAAGTGTTTGTCCTAGTTCTTTCCGAAAAGAAATTTATAAATGTTTTGAAATCATTTTCGATTGTGGTTTTTAGTGTATGCCACTGGTTACGTTCATAGAGAATAGCTGTATCATCCGCAAAACCGATAACTTGACCTGTACTACTTATTTTGAACAAATCGTTGATAGATTAAATAAATGGGTCCTAATACTGATCCTTGAGGTACACCGTACGATACGACATGGGGTTCACTAAATGTATTATTAATTTTGACGCACTGTGTTCGATTTGACAAATAATTTTCTATAAGTTTGTATGTTATTCTACGGAAACCTAAGTTTTCTAAAGTTGTTAAACGCGATTCATGAGTAATAGAGCCTTTGAAAAGTCAACAAAAACACATGCAATTGGTTTGTCAATATCGAGAATCGTGTATATTTTACTTGTTAATTTTACAATAGCATCTTGAGTAGATTTGCCTTCTTGAAAACCATATTGCTGTTTCGCTATTAAGTTATATTTTTTTGCAAATTCTGTGAATCGTTTTTTTAACAATTTTTCAAATATTTTAGAAAAATTGTTCAAGATGAAAATTGGCCGATAGTTGATGGGTTTTTCTGTTTCTCCAGATTTAAATAATGGTTTTAACATACCGTGTTTTAAACATGTAAGGAATATTCCTTTATTCATACAAGAATTTATCAAGTATGACAGTATGCCACAGATGTTGGAATTTATCCTCTTGGGAGCATGTGCTGTTATATTATGTAGACCTGGAGATTTTCTTAATTTTAATTGATCGATTATTGTCTTTATTTCATGCGTATCGGTCGGTTCCAGATATGAGATATAATCTGGTCTTGCTATAATTTAATTTTTTCGCGTTTTTTATGCTTTCTGACAACCTTTTCCCGATTTTTGAAAAATATTCACAAAATTCATTTGCTACATATACATCTTTACTCACTAGTTCGCCATTTCTTTTTTTAATTGTACTAATTTTGTTGTTTTGTTTTTCCGTTGTATTTTATTGATGTTAGAAATAAACTACACAGCTTGAAGGCGAGTATTTAAAATATAAACACAATATACGAAAAATAACATATATTTATTCCAAAAACAAAATAAACTTTCGAATGTCATTACCCATGAGTTAGATTATTATAACTGAAAATAAATTTCTTACTTAACGACTAACAAAAATTATAAAACCAACATTGGGATGTTTATATCGTATTAGAGCTATTTTTTAGTAAATAATATTGGTAATGAATTTTACAAATTTCATCTCCAAAATTCGCCAAAATGTTATTCAATTCTTTATAGACCTTAACTAAATCCTCTTCCGATTTTGAATCAATATTTTCAATGCTTTTAATCACCAAGACACATAGTTCAGGGCGAGGTTTGTACCTCATAGCATTTAAGTAGAACTTGTATTTATCAATCGTTTCTAACGCGTTCAACATTAAGTCCAACCCAGATTTGAATATATCCAAAACTAAAGCACCATATCTTTCCAAAATATGTTCGAAATAATCGACTACATTTTGTGCAAACGATTCTGTTGTTGCACAGTTTTTATAATAGACTACTATCCGCAAAGAAATGTGTTCTTGCAAACCGTATTCTAAAGGAAACTTCATGCTCCAATATTTGTAGAACATCTCCAAAAAAGTTTCGTCCTCGACTACCTTTTTATTACGTTTTACATATTCGAATAATTCTTCAACAAAATTGCGTGCTACTTTGTAGTGACCTTCTTTCAGCACATTGAACACCTCCTTGAAAATTTTGTCTCTATCAGATATCCTTGTAAGTAAAATTTCCAACATGAACAATCTGATATTACAAATATTATCAAACTTGAAATAGTCGTGTATAATTTTATAGATGAATCTGTCAGATAAAGCGGTAAAGACTTTACCGTCAAGGGTTATCGCTGACATGATACTGTCCAAATATTTCTCAATTTTTACACCTTTAGATTTAAGATCCTCGAAGAATGTCCAAAGATTTTCCAGATATTCGGCTTTGTAACTTCGAGGAAACGAAATATCTATTAACATGTCCAAGGTTTCTACGTCGTTTTTATCAATAATTTTCAAATGTGTCATACATAAGGAAAACATATCCTTGGACGGATTTTTTAGGAAATATTTTATCGTCTTTTGAAATATATTACTATTCTCGGAACTGTCTGTCGATTTTGCACTCTTCAAAGTATCAACTGCAGTTTTTTGATCCAAAAGAAGGGTATTCAAACAAAGTGCGTGTTTTCTCACGGACATTGACCTTTTTGCTAAAGTCTCTATACAAGGACGTATTTTCTCCTCTGGAGATCTGTACATGATACTGTAAAGTGGTTGAAGAGCGTACCTTAGATAATCTCCAACACAGAATCTCACCAAAGGATCCAACATTTTTGAAGGTTCTGCTACCTTGTGCAAAACTCGAATGAAATCCGTCTGTAACGCAAATAATTCTTTCATTTTCGGATCCTCAACATCGATTTTATGCTTTTCTGGTACACATTTTAGTACGAGTTTCAAAAAATCATCAGTAGAAAGCAAATGTGCAAGGTGTGTTATGAAACGTCTTATAGAGTCAGCACAGTTTATTGCCTCATCTTCAAGATTCAGCAATGAATCCACTTTCTCTTTGTACTCTTCACAAAGGTTTTTATCAAAACCGAAATGCGAATAATATTTTATAGCCGCAGCCGCATTGTCCGATATAATGCCGTATCTACCGCTAGCGCTTATACAGGAAATTTTATCGAAATAAGGTGCGACAGATTTTGGATCGTGCAAAAAAAACCATTCTCCTATACTTGCGTCGTAATGTTTCTCAATATTCTCCCAATATATTTTAAACACTTGGTTCTCGAAGGCTGTTCTTTCTTTTTTCAATATGATTTTGTTGAGCAAATCTGGCAGATAGATATAGTTTTTCTCAATCTGTTCTAAAATGAAATGTAACATAAAACTTTCATCAATAGAAAACGCGTATTCAGGACATGAAACGTTGTACAGAAAAATCTGTCTTATAATTTGAGAATTCTTCTTGTCAATCTTCTCTGACTTTAATGCTTTCCTCATAAATTCAACCAAGTGGGGATACTTATTTAAATCCAATGCATGGTTTTTCTTACTTGTACAAAAATCAATGGCATAGCTGAATAATTCTGATACATTTTTACTTTTAACAACTCGTGGAAAAACTTTACAAACTTCATCGATAAATTTAGAATGGATCGATGGATCCGAGAAAAAAAGTTCAATTCGATGTAGCCCTTTATCGTATTCCTCCAAGTATTCTCTTACAGGATCTCCGATTGGTTGTTTCTTCTTAATGAGGTACTCGATGTAATTCTGATCAATATCTCCTATACACCCATAATAATGTATGTCTTTCTGAACCTTGATAATTTTGACCAATGTTCTGATGTGTTGCCAGTGCTTGTCATTGAGTTTTTCCATATGGATACTACTTATAGAACGCAAGATGTTGATTCTATCTGAAGGATCCTCATTTCTATGTCTTTTAACAATATATGCTAACACTTTTTCTAATGTAGTTGGATCGCCATTTATTTTACAAGAATCAATCAATAGTTTAACGAGACGTACTCTGTTAGACTTGTCAGAAGTGACATTGATTTTTTCCTTAATCAAAGTGACCGCTTGAGGAACGTCAGTATAGTATGGAAGATATCCTTCATCGTTATTATCCTTATATTTAATTTCAGCCCACTTTTGAATTATGGTTTTATCCGCATTGAGTTTAATTATGTAATCATCGAAGACGGACAAAAGGTCTGACAGTTCTTTATCAGGAAATTTCTTCGCGTACGTTCGATAAAACAACTGCCATTTTTTCTTTTTGGGGTACAAACTCAACAGTCGGAAAGGGGTACTGTATTTCAAAAATAAAAAGTCTTCGTGGAAATTTTTCGGAAAGATCTTTTCAAAAACAGCGTCAAAATCTTTTCCCAACTTCCTTACCATGACGGAATTTTTTAAAAGTTTTTGATGAGCGTCTACGTTATTCTTGACATCTTCTTTAACGATGTTGAATATTTTTTTGGTTGTTCTGCGACCCAAAGTATGAAGAACAAACGCGTTTTGCTGTTTGAGTTCCAGCAAAAATCCTGGGTTTTTCAACGCAACGTAACCGATAACCTTTGGTTCATCATATTTAGAAAGAGATTCCGATTCATTATGATGAAGAATGTAGTCTAAAAATATGTTTTCGCTTCTATCAAATAAATGCTTCTCTTGATTCGAAGTCAACTTGATTTCATATAACTCCAAAGTCTTGTGGATTTTTTCTGCAGAACATTTGTGGAGGTTTGTCTTTGCCAGGGGGAGGCCATAGCTGGAAAGGAAAACACAGGTTCCAATAAAGAGATATCTTTTTTTTGAAAGACAACATTGTTATAACCTCAAAATACTAATGGAAAAATGTCTTCCGATATTTTCGACCTTAACATGAGCCCTAAGCAAATATACAGAGTTTAATGACAAATACAGGGTGATTCACAAGTCGTGACCAAGAATGAAACATCATTCTCAGGACCACGAAGGGCTTCATTTAAAAAGATACGAAGTGCAATGGCGAAAATTTTGTGAGTGGTTACTGCAAATGCATAATCAAAACGCAGATTTTATTTATTTGGTTTTGTGGTCAGACTAATCGCGACAATGCACTCTGCGAAATAAAACATAAGATTAATTATTTTTAGCAAATTGAAAAAATTGAAATTCGACAAATCGCGCGTTTCGAAAAAACCAGTGGCGTACTATCTTTATTTGGAAAAATAATTCCTCTAATCCCCTGTATCTCCGACACTGGAGGTTTTATATACATGATATATCAAAGTGTGTGTTCACTCAAAATATACTCACCGATCAAAAATGCAAACAAATAACTCATCATGTTTGGCTTCATCCCAAATAAGGCACATCTTTTTGATGAACTTAATCTTGAACGAATATGACATAGTTGGTAGGAATTTGTTCACAAATTCATGGCATGTCATATTATCAAAGACTTCTTTGATGAACCAAGTCTGTTTCAACAGTTTGCTCATATAAACCTCATTGCCTTCTTTCAATATTTCCAACAATTCTTCAGTTCTTTTAAAGTGTATAAGAGCATCAACTTTAAATAAACCTTCTAGATATGTGCGGGGCTTCAAATCAGCCAAAGCTCGGTGAAGCTGCTCAGAATTTTGTTTGAAGCAAGGAATTTCCAATAGTTTTCTGAAATTCTTTTTTCTTTCGCTAAGCAAATCGCCTTCAATGTTGTAGAAAAGATTAGAGAAATCTGGCATAGTGTCACCCATCTTAACACTGCAAGAAGATATATTTTTCACATATAAGATGAATTTTTCATGGAGTATAAGAATGTTTCTGAACAAGTTCTGTATAAGTTGAAGTTTGGTAATGAGACGTATTAACTCGAAACGAGATTTACCTGCAGGTCGTTTTCTCTTAATTTGTCGAGCAATTTGGTTTTTGAAATAAATTTGTTATTGCAATGATTATGATGCATGGTTTTCCCCAATGCATGATTCATTATTATTAATAGGCAACCATCAAACCAAAAATATGGTGCAATATTAGGAAACCTTCTAATTTCTACTGATTTCGCGATGATCAGATCTCTATTATCACGAATTTTTAACTTTGGGTTAAGTATATACAACAAATTAGGCGTTATCTTACCCTACCGATTTTCACAATATCTTGAAAAAACCACTAACAAAACGTGTATTCACGTACTACCGCATAAAATCAAATCTTCAGATTATATGGGTGTCCGTACATCAAATAATTACAAAAGATCAAATATTGTAAAAAAAAATATTCAAGTAGACCACCAAAAGTTGGTACTTCAAAAAAGCGACAAATAACGAGACACCTCGAGATACATGGTTGCCAGGTTTTCAGTCTCGTTGATCGCCAAGTTTTGATGAGAAAATCGCCAATCCTTAAAGTGAAAATTATCTAGAAGTCTAACCATAAAACTCCAAGTTGGAATGGATTTGTCGCCCGGGGAAGTGAAGTAGTGACTGGTCTAAGCGCCTAAGTAGCCTAGACACGTGTAATATTAACGAAGTTATAAGTTAGTTCACAGGGGGCGGATCCCAAAGGGACATTTTGGGGTGGCGCGACTTCTGGCGAATGTTCTTGTGATATCGAGATAACAGGGAGGAGGGTTACCGACTATCTATCTTTCCCCAGTGATCTTTTGGGGGAGAGGTGGCTCTCTCTTCTCCCGGTTATCGTTCAAAAATTCGTACGTCCAGCAACATTGTGTCAAAAGTGTTACGATCAGGATGGGATGTCGTTGATATACTCGGAACACTACACCTTAACATGACATTTGACCATAAGCGTCATTGTGCTTAGAGAACAGAACTGCCGCTGGTCCTCGTTTCATGTTTCGTTAATCTCCTGAAAACCAAATTTCTCTGACGGCTTGATTCAATGTGTTCGAGAGAGAAGTGTATATAGACACATATGCTAGAAAAAGGTACAAGCTGGCTGAATAGCGAAGCTTATCGTCGCATTGCCTATCAATGCTGACGCGGAATCTGCCATTATGTTACACCAGCTCTTTGAATTAAAGTGCATGTGAAAAACATGCGTTAGTTTACACCTACGCCCAAATAATGGTTTTATTTTGAGCGTATACACTTTTTAATTTTGAATTGTGTCGAATCTGTATTCTCGCGCTTCTCTCTCGTACTCATTGAACTCAAGCCGTTGGACAAATTTGGTTTTCCCTGTATACACATATCAGCAAATATTGATTACAACTTAGGCCCGTATCGTCAGTCGTCCCTACAATTGTAGGGCGCCTTTATGGCCTCCTTGATTGTCATAGTTTTCTGCTTCTCCGTGTCAGAACTCTATTTTGAGGTTATGTCACAAACATCTATTTGCATCAAATTGTGCTTGCTTTTGAGTTATATCATGTTTTATCAGCCTGATATTTCCTACAATTTAAAAAGAAAACATATCTTCACAATAGGAGAGCGCTGACGCTGACACGGGACAAGTGTAATCTAGAAATTTTTGAAGGCGAGAAAGGAGGATGACAATCAAGGAGGCCATAAACGCGCCCTACAATTGAAGGGCCGACTGACGATACGAGCCTTAATTGACGTCAGAAATGTTAAAGATCGCCAGGTTGCTGGATACTGTGCGCCATTAAGGCCCGTATCGTCAGTCGTCCCTACAATTGTAGGGCGCGTTTATGGCCTCCTTGATTGTCATCCTGCTTTCTCTCCTTCAAAAATTTCTAGATTACACTTGTCCCGTGTCAGCGTCAGCGCTCGCCTATTGTGAAGATGTTTTCTTTTTAAATTGTAGGAAATTTCAGTCTGATAAAACATGATATAACTCAAAAGCAATCACAATTTGATGCAAATAGATGTTTGTGACATAACCTCAAAATAGAGTTCTGACACGGAGAAGTAGAAAACTATGACAATCAAGGAGGCCACAAAGGCGCCCTACAATTGTAGGGACGACTGACGATACGGGCCTAAAGTAGCCAATTGCCAAGCTATCCATTTGAAGCCGTCAAATAGTCACTTTGGCGAAAAATCGTCACGCCTGGCAACCCCGTCAAGATATCACAACAATATGATATTTATCTTCCGCTCCATATTGTCCATCTATGTTAGCTCAAGAGCTAAGTATGTAGAAAGGTAGAAGTCTAGTTCTGTTCTAAATTTGAAGGAAAGTGCCGTGAGATGGCGCTATATAAAAGAAAGTAAATCTTTTGCTCGCGAGATGGCGTCATACAGAAGCTCTCTCATTGGTTCAATTTTATTTTTGTGGCATTTGATTGGCCGGTCCGTGCGGGGCAGGGCTTACAAGAAAACAAAACTATATTTCCCTGCCTTTCGAACTAGAAAACATGTCCTTGGTTTTTAATAAATCGCAGATCCTTCATTTGCAAACACTTCCTAGTCAGCTGATGGTCATTTTGCGTTTTTGACCATAATGTCTAAAATTAGCACGTGCAGCTAACGTTGAGCGCGTTGTTCGAGTGCGTGAATGAATTTTCGAGAGTGCAGTAGGGACAGTGTATGTATACAATCAAATTTTGTCATGATCAGCTGTAAAAGTGTCAGCAAACTGTCATGAGTATGTTTATGAACAACTACGGGAAATCTATCGTGAATGGCGCATCGACGACTATTTTGGTATTGTTACGCCGTCGAATTTTAAGTTACACTGTCTAAATTATTTTTAGAAGGTACGTGTAATGATTTTTTGCTGTTATAAGTAGGTTTCTTTGTTTACAGCCTCTGGGCGCTTGTGTGTAAACATCGTATTATTTGTGACGTTTGGGCTTACCTCATATTTTTATCATCCAAGTATATTTTTACGTATATCAAAACCTATACTCTTTGCTCATTAACAATCTGTGTCAGTCACATAAGATAGGCATGTTCTGGACATGCTGAAAATCCAAATATTGAACTAGTTTTTGTAATTACCCTGAATTTGATAAGTTATCTATAATCAAAACAAAACATTTGTCTGGAAGATGCAAATTGAAATATTGAATATTTACTGTTTAGGAATGCCTAGGTAGAGGGCCAGCTTTTAGAGTCTGATTACCAACCAACCAGCAAGATGTTATTCGTATTTTATGTTGATGCTGGGAGAATGATGACTTTTGACATGAATCTTGCTCTCCACAGGTTAGTACCCCCTTATTTACACTAACAACAAACAAAAAAACTTGGTTTTACATTCCTAATTGAATTAACCACTTATTATTAAAAAAAAATGTTTTGAATTATATTTTTAATTTGTGGTCATTGTCATGATTGATGCTTTGGATTCATACTTATACCTAAGTAGACAATGCATGGTATGGAATAAAAATAAAATCAAATTATTGAATAATTAGTATCCTACCAGGCTATAAATTATAATACTATGTTTATACTTTTCAAATTTAAATATGGAACTAGATTGGTACATTTAGCCAAATAGGTTTTTATAGAATATGCCATATTATATCTTATACCTGCAAATCTTCAAGGGTGATCTTTATGATGTACCTTTCTTAAACATTTATTGCTTCTTGGTCATGGTAGATATTGTAGGTAAAACTTTTGGTATCAAGATAAGGATTTGCAAATATGCTGATAATGCTACTAGGTAGATTTTATTTCAAATAGCTTTTTGTGGAACCTTCTATAAATGAAACACTGTGTTGCAAGTATTGGGAATCTTTACCTGCAAATTCTTTATCACTTATTGCTTTTGGTCATGGTAGATATTAGGGGTAAAACTGCAGGTACAAAGATAAGGATTTGCAAATATGCTGATAATGCTTTGTCAAAATTTTACCTGAAGGCTGACCTAAAAAACCTTTTAGGTTCTTGCACATAATTTGGAAATCCCCAAAGTATACCTTAGATACTATTCTATTCATGCCTTCTTGGGTTTTGCTTAATCTCACTTTGAAACAGAATTTTAGAAAAGAATTATGTAGAAAACAAAGCAGCCTAGCATCAAGCCTATTTATTTTTGTTATTCACAAAGCCTTTTACATATTTAAACATACAGGTAATAAAAGAAGAAGAAACAATTTAAATCCTGAGCTCAGATAGTATTACTATTAAATCAAATTAAATGTATGGTCATTTTCTAAATATTTGTATGAAACATTATGTGTAAGTCTCCCATTACACATTTTACTTATTGTCAGTGTTACTGACTCATATAAGTATCAAGTATAATGTTAAATTCTTAGGAAATGATTTCAATTTGAACCACTTGATATTCAGTTTTATACATTTCTATCACCACCTATAAATGTATAAATTTAAGTCATTGACACACATTTGGTATATGTATATTTAGAAAGTATTATCATTTCCATTGTTTTTGCACCTAATAACAAACTCATTGTTCAATAATTTTTTGAAGTAAGGGCGATTTTAAATGTTCTATCAATTTGCAGATATATCAACAATTTTAGAATAATTATTTACTAACTAGTTATCACGTAAATACGGGGTTAATTGGATGTGTCAGATTACAGGTTAAAACATGTGTTTTCCAATTACTGTTTAGTCACCTATGTAACAGACTGAATATTTTTAATATTTAACCTTGCATGATAATGTTTCTAAGGACTAGTTTTTAGAATATTTATTGAAAAAAATATGAGAAAAATCAAGTGGGAAAATTTGCCTCCAAAGATGATTCCCTAACTTGTTTTTAAATGATTAATTCAATTTTTTGTATTTGCTGAATGGATGATGAACCGTAATTACGAAACTGAGCCGTCAAAATAACCGGGAATAACAGAATTTTCTGGGCTTTCAAAATTTTAGGATGAAATTCAGTTTTGGTGTTTGAATCAAATTGCACAGGATTAATCCTCATCCCATTTCAAATTTTTGATGTGTTTATATATAAGCTTGTTACCCTTGCTTTCAAAAATTCCAGAAAGAATCATATAGAAACAATATAATACGAGGGTGGTCCCAGAAGTACCCGACCCATGGAAGAAAACACAAAAATTTTGTAAAAAGTATTTATTTTTCAACATAATCGCCTTTGAGCTCTATACACTTTTCCCAGTGATGTTCAATAAGTCCGATACCCTATTTATAATGAGAACTGTTTTGCTCCTCAAGATAGCCATTAACTGCCGACACTTCTTCATCGTTGGAAAATCTTTGACCACTGAGCCATTTTTTTCAAGTTTGGAAACAAAATAATCCGTGGGGGCTAAATCTGGAGAATAGGGTGCATGATGTAGCAATTCAAACTTTAATTCGTTCATTTTGGCAATTGCAATAACGGATTTGTGAGCTGGTGCATTGTCTTGATGAAACAACACTCTCTTCTTAACCAAATGCGGCCGTTTTTGCTTGATTTCATCGCTCAAACGTTGCATTAACCCTTAACCAGAAAGGTGCCGTCTGTGAGACTGCGGCGTTTCTATACCTGAGCGTATCTTTTTTTATTGCACCTCTAACAGACGTAAAAACCCATTTAATCCATAAGCTATTAGTGACCATCGCCCACCCCCATTCACACGAGTCTAGCCAAAACGTGCCTTAAAATATGGACCAATTTTAGTTTGTTGCAGTCTGTCAGACGGCACGTTTCCGTTCCCGTTTGCTATTTGTGTTGCATAGGTGCGTTTGCGAGTATGGCGGGACCTTCTAAACGTGTACGATACGATGATCCGGAGTTCGAAGAAACCGTTCTAAAATGGTTTGAGGATGAAGGAAGTGACTTTAGTGATATAGACAGTGCCTCAGAAGACGAATACATGGAATCAGATCATACAAGTGATAGTGAGTTATCAGAAGACGGAGCCGAAGGAAATGAAGAGGATTTACCAGCTCAGAATTATTTCTATGGAAAAAATCGTCATAGGTGGAATATTTCGGAAGTTGTACCATCATCACGTACAAGGAAGCACAATATAGTCATTAAAGTACCAACTCTAAGAGGAAAAGCACATGAATATGGAGAAGAAGCAGCTCCGTTGACGGTTTGGCAGCTTTTGTTCACTGACGACATGTTGGTACATATCGTTAAGTGGACCAATCACAAGCTCAAAGAAATGCGAAAGAGATACAAAAATCAAACCAGCAACCTAAACGACACTGATTTAGTCGAAATAAAGGCACTATTGGGTCTCTTAGTATATACATCGGTGTTCAACAGCAACCACGAGAACATTGAAACACTTTTTGCCACCGATGGCTCTGGAAGAGATATATTCAGAGCTGTCATGAACATAAAACGATTTGGTATTCTCCTGTCAGCCTTAAGGTTTGATAACCCAGATGACAGGAATGAAAGAAAGAAGCTAGATCCAGTAGCACCAATATCTTTCATTTTTAATAGTTTTATAAAGAACTGTCAAGATGTGTACGGAGTTGGCCAGTCTGTCACTGTCGATGAAATGCTCGTGAGTTTCAGAGGAAGATGTCGATTTAAAATGTATATGCCTGCGAAACCTTGCAAATATGGCATAAAAATTATGGCATTGACGGATGCAAGGAATAGCTATCTCTATAACGCATATATATACTGCGGTAAAGATTCCGATAGTTTCGAACTTCCTGAGGAACACAAGCGGTATTCCAAACCCACACAATCAGTTCTGCGTCTCGCGAAGCCTCTGTTTGGAACTAATCGCAACATTACAGCGGACAACTGGTTTACGTCAATAGAATTAATGGATGTCCTATTGAAGAACAAACTGACCTATGTGGGTACAATGAAGAAAAATAAAAGAGAAATTCCTCCGGCATTTTTACCCAACAAATCAAGAGAAGTCGGATCAACAATGTACGGATTTCGAGAAGATTCCACTATTCTCATGTAAACAAAAAAAATAAAGCCACAATACTCATATCTTCTAAGCACCACAGAAAATATTGTGATCCGGAAACACAGAAACCGGAAATAATAGCCTATTACAATGCTAATAAAGGTGGAGTTGATTCTCTTGATGAAAAATGTTCGAAGAGTACCTCAAGTCGCCGTTCGCGTAGGTGGCCACTGGTTATTTTCTACCGACTATTGGATATATCGGTAGTGAACTCGTATATTTTACACCAGTGCTATAAGAAAAATGAATTGCAGAAGGAAAAATCGGTATTTGCTAAGATGTTGGCCGCTAACTTGGTCCGTGAGCATATGGAAAAGCGACTAGAGAGTCCCCGTTTACCTCGGGATTTGCGACTTACGATAAATCGCATCCTTGGTAAATGTGAACATCCAGCAACAGAAGCTGAAAATTTGGTTTTGGAAAAAAGGAAAGCCTGCTTTTTATGTCACCGAACGACCCATCGGATGACCAAATTTTTGTGTGTACAATGTAGGAAGCCTGTATGTCTTCAATGCTCCAAACCCAAATGTATTAGCTGCATAAATATAGGCAATGTTTGAGACTTGCAGTGAATTTTGATTGTGTTCTTTTTGTATTTATTGACTATAATATACTTTCCTTGTTCATTACTTAACTAGAAAATAGAAAAATATTGAGACTTTTCCATAGTTTTAATTTAGTTTCTGAATGTTGCAACAACAGCGTTATTTTTGTATGGTTTTAGCATAGTTAATAAAAATGTTTCTTTTATGTTCTTGTATCATTTTGAAATGAGCATTTTACGTATTAAACACATAAAATAAACATCCAGTATCAGTTTTAGCGAAGTTATTGCTTGCTTTTCGCCTTACTCTAATTTTTTGAACATCTTGAAGTTCGCAGTCTGAGAGACGGCATGTTTCCTTTTGTGTTCCAAAAATTCACGTTTCCTGTTAAGGGTTAAGGTCGCATAATACTCGCCGTCGATAGTTTTACCTTTTTCAAGATAGCCAATGAAAATTATCCCACGCGCACCCGAAAAAGCCGAAGCCATAACCTTGCCTGCAGCTGAAACGATCTTCGCCTTCTTTGGAGCCGGTTGTCCCTTTTGAGTCCATTGTTTTGATTGTTCTTTTACCTCGGGTGTGAAGTGATGGACCCATGTTTCATCCATGATTATGAAACGACGCAAAAATTCTGCTTTGTTGCTGTGAAACTTCGCTAAACACTCAATTGAAACATCTTCACGACACTGTTTTTGCTCGATTTGGTCGACCACTGCGATGCTCGTCTTGGCAGCTCATACAGCCTCGTTTGAACTCTGCTACCCAATATTTTGCTGATGTAAACGAAGGAGCAGACTCACCCAGAGTAGAATCCGGTTCAGCTTTTATATTGGTTGGGCTGAGGCTTTTGAAATAAAAGTATCGTACCACATAACGATTACCAATTTTCTCCGTTTTCACAAATTCACTGAAAACGTTCAGTATTGATGGCTGCCAAACAAATACTAAACAACGTGGCGTCTTCAAACTTGACACATATGCTTTATAGGCTGCATACTTTCTAATACAATGATATTTTTCAAACAACTATCGCCATCTCTAGGCCAGGCCGGGTACTTCTGGGACCACCCTCGTAATTTATTCATGATTGTACAGAAAAGTGCTTACGCAAGTCGAGGAAAGTCTAAGCATACAATACAATAAGAAGCATCACAAAAAATAACATACAATTATATTATTATTATACAGTTATTAACAAATATTCAACATTTATGGAACACAGTCGGTAAAATCCTTATTTAAAAACTCTTCTATATTATAAGAAGCTTTTGTTGCTAAATTTATACTTTTAAGTAAAACCAAATATCAAACAAATCTAAATCAAGACGACCATGCTATGAGAATGAATGTCGAAATGCAAGATGTAAACGCCTTATTTATTATACCCGTACCCCTTTCGCACCAGCGACTGAGTGCTTCCGCGTCAGACACCACATGCCAAATTCTATTAAGCCATTCGGGCTGAACTAGGATTTTCGAACATATTTTCCGGGAAAAAAGTAGCCTATGTGCTAGTGCAGACTATATTTCTGTACCAAATTTAATTCAACAGAAACAAAATTCTCAGCTCGAGCTTGTGAATGGTGTCCCGCAAGGCTCCGTGTTGGGCACTCTGCTTTTTATATTATACACCTCGCAGCTCGATATTAATTTAATATTGCTCCTATCACTTCTATGCTGATGATAAACAGCTATATATGTATAACATCTAAAGAGACTGACATCGAAAAAACATGTTATCAATAATTAAATGAGGACTTAGAAACTTTAGCATTGACATCTGAGAAGTACACTAAACTTTTTGAAATTTAAAATGAATAATGAATTGGTAGTTTGAAACATACAAAATATAACTCCTTTTTTGTGTATACAACAGTTTTTCATTTATGTTTTTCTTGAACTCGTTTTTGATCAAGTTTCTTGCTTTTAAGGCCTAGGTGAAGAATTACTGTATTTTCTTTCGGTTGAATGAAAGAGATCTTTATACAGGGCGTAATTTAATTGATGACTAAAAACACAGGATATGATTCCTTAGCTCATTTTAGGAAGAAAAGTTTATATGGACATATGTCCTAAACCTCTTAACTTTTGAGCTGCAGGGTGTTAAAATAAAAAAAAATCGTTTTTGTTTTCATAACTTTACTACTGCCCTAGATATTTTCATGAAATTTGACGAGCACCTACTAAGCACCAATAGGCATTTTTTGATGTAAAATATTTTTCAATATTTCCTCCAGTACACATACTGTATATACAAAAGCAATGGCGTAGTCATTACACCATGTATATGGTGACGTTTATCAAGAAAACAGCTAGAATTTGTACTAGTTCTTTGTAATTTTTTTAAAAACCATATATTATTATTATCAGTTCAGCTATTTTGGTGTGATTTGAGTAACAGACATAACACTTTCTCATTAATAATATCAGCAGGGATTATAAGTTACAGTATTTTTCTTCAAATTCGTATTTTTATTAATAGCTTTGGTTATATTTAGTTCCTAAGCGATAAAAGATCCAAAAGTTTTGGACTCCCGATTCTAATTTGCGGGACGCAGCACCCAGCGACTGTGTATATGACATGCTTTGTTTCCTCCGCAGCGTCTTGGAGCTCAAGAAGCACATGCAACAGGAATGTCAAGTCCCGCCCGAGAAACAGGTTCTGCTGATCAGCGGAGGGGAATGCCTGGACAACAAGAAACGTGTCTGCTCTTACTCTGCAGGCACCGATACTAACCCCATCTTTCTGTTCAGCAGGAAACTCTTAGAATCGCCAACGCCGCCTGGTCCAAACGACGATCAGATTATCGATCCAGGTAGGTCTTGATATTATCCACTAAATAATAGAGAAAGTGCCTAATTTTTATTAGAAATTTTTTGGTGCTCTTATTTTGCGCTTTGTTAGGTTTTTCGTTATTCTGAGTGCGAAATAAGAGGCTCCCGTTGCTCACGTAGAATAAAAAATAGTTTATTTTGAAACATTCTTATTTCCACATTCAGGGCAGTTAATGGATTTCGCAAAGCTGGAAACCTGTTTATAAATCAATTTCAAGTTATACTAATAATGTATATTCCAACAGGTTTGTACCCAATCACAGGAACATGCAATAGCAAACATCAAGTTCTATGCTCTTGTGTATAAAAGTTCATTTTACAAAATGCATTTAAGACATCATCGAAAACCATTATCACAGGAAATAAAAACGTGAAGATGGATGACAGTCTAATTGACACAAAAAAATGTATATGTAAAAATGACGGCTCCATTTGCAAAAATGAACATTATTGGATAAGCACCTCATATGTTTGTTTAAAACTGCTCAAAATCAGCTGAATGGTATTTTATTGATATCGATTTTTAACAATAAATGTCAAAACATACCACACATGAGATGTCTGATGTGTTGGTTCTACCCCTAGCGCTGTAAAAAGTTGCGTTAGAGCGAGTTGATCTCTTTGGCACCACAAAACTGATTTTTGATAGTAATTCCGGACAATCAAGTTTATTAACCAGACTATGAAACACTACGTGATTTAATTGACGACGGTAAACCAATGTATCAAAATGCATGACTTGAAGAATCAGATTGTTTGGGAAGCCTCTTCCAGGATATACGAGTATGCCATAAACTTTGAAATGGATGTATTTCAGGCTGGACAGGTTCAATTGCTGAAATTGCATTTTGGTAAATTGTCGACCAAACCAGTGCAGATATTCCAGTTTACTCATAATATATATAGTATTCTTAGTTAATTGCCTTAACTGTTAGGAGAAGATATCCGTTCATTTCTTTGGGTAGAAGGCAAAGTATGAAAAAGTACACTCTTATAACTTGAACTCAAGCTTTCGAAGATCTATGTCTTCATCGTCTCGAGCTGGAAATAATTATTGACAATAGCAACAAACAACAATTAGGAGAAAAATATTTACTTACTAAGTTGGCGAGATTGTTACTGAAATTGTTTTTTAAACAACAGTGAAGGCAACACATTGTCGACGAATAAAAAACTGGACTGATGAGGTTCGATTAGGGCGGAATTATTTTATTATTGAATGGCAAGTCATTTTGAAAGGTTTTTTTAATTAAACCTTGATTGATTTTGGAAGAAATTTGTAGAATTGAAAATTCCTTCGAGATCTTTTTTTCACTGATAACCTCCACATTATCCATATATATACAGGGTGACTTCGAAGTTGAGTCATTTATTTTAACAGTGAGTAGATCTGATCAAAAGAAATGTTTTTTTCCTTTACCATTTTTCTGGTAAAATTAAAGTAACAAAGTTTTAGCCCTTTGGAAGTTTGAGTACCGCCCTCTCTCAATAATAATATCATGTGCTCGTGTTTGGCAACAACGGATATAATCCGCCTTATCGGTTCATCGCATCGGAAACAAAAAAGCGAAAGAATTTGGAACGATGTTTTTAGAATTATTTTATTCAGTTCAGTTATACATACAGTCAGTGTCAGTCGGTAACGCGTGTGAATAGTGTCTGTTGCGTGGCTCAAACGAAATAAAAAATGGCACATGTTTATGCGGATCGGTTTCCCAATCGAGTGCAACCAACCCCTCGTGCCTTTGTTAATGTAGTACAACGGGCTCGTGTATCAGGTGACTTAAGACCTCACAGGGGACCTCACGATCAAATACAGGTTCGCACTGAAATACTTGTCGGGAGGATACTTTATAAAACAAGGTAAAAATTTTTTTTTAATTTTTTTTTATTTTTACACACATATTTTGGTTTATCTTCCTTCTACAATCATTATCTGAAAATTAATGACTCAACTTCAAAGTCACCCTGTATATACAGGGTGTCCGCAAAGTTGGGGTTTTCCTTTACACGACGTGTAGATCTTGAAAACATATGCAATTTTTCTTAGTACCATATACACCAATGTCTTAAGGGAACCGAGATAAAGGGCTCTGCAATATAAAAAATATCTGAATACCGTCCTGTAGCCGCGACATCACCGACTGGTACAAGGTCACTGACTCAACCCGACGACAGAACTGGGTCGGGGTCAGTGTGTCAGGTCAGTATGCAACCTTCAACCGACGGTTACGGTCACGCGTATAGAGGTAATCGCGTAGACGAGAATCCCTCAACAAGCACTAGAGACGCGGCTAGAGAAGTGCAAGTATCAAAAACTAAAGTGTGGCAAACGCTGCGTGAAGAGGGGCTGTATCCGTTTCACGTCCAACGTGTACAAGCCCTTCAACCTGACGATTTTCCAGCAAGAGTGCGGTTTTGTGAGTGGTTGTTGCATCAGCATGACAATAATCCGGACTTTTTGAAGTGCATATTGGTGACAGACGAATCTACGTTCACGCGTAATGGGGTGAATAACTTTCGCAACACTCATGTTTGGTCAGTAGAAAATCCGCACGCTGTCCGTCGGTCACATTTTCAGCAAACATTTTCGGTGAATGTTTGGGCTGGCATGGTGAACGGTATGCTCATTGGACCATTTATTCTCCCAAATCGATTGGACGAGATGCAATACCTAGACTTTTTACGCAACATTTTGCCTTCCTTGTTAGAAGATGTGCCATTAAGTGTAAGACAATCAATGTAGTTTCTGCGTCTGCTCGGTAGCGCATCGGCTGATTTCATTTTCTGTTGGAGCGGTATGATTTCGGGCAGAGACGTGCTTAGCCCTTCTCGTCAACTGGAGAGTGAGTACTTTTTCCTTTATTTTTTTTACTTTTTCGCCCTCGTTTCACTACACATTACCTTTGTTATTTCAAGGGTAGTTGTTTCTGAAAAGGAAAACCCCAACTTTGCGGACACCCTATATATATACGTAGTCATGCCATAAGTTCTGTCCCTCGTTTTCAAACAAGTGTAGACCTGTTAATACTTGTCCGATTGTTTACATTGTGGTGTCAGTTGATTAAGCGCTTTTCGGGTAATTACATATACCTCAGTTTGTATTGATCTCTCGAAGCATAACGATGGAGTGGGGCAAGGCAGAGAACCGTATTGCAGTGATAGCTTTACATAAGTGTAATCACAGTGCTAGTCAGATTTTTGAACTCTTACGCGGCCTTCAAATATCGCGTAAATTTGTGTCTAGGACCATTCAGCGGTACAATGAGACGTCCTCTGTTGATGACAGGCCAAGAAGCGGAAGACCTCGTCAAGTAAGGACTCCAGCAGCCATCAAAGCCGTAAAAGCCAGGATTCAAAGGAATCCACTCCGGAAGCAGAAGATCCTATCCAGGGAAATGAAGATTCCTGTCCGGACGATGTCGCGCATCATTAAACAAGACCTAGGGCTAGGGGCTTACCGGAGACGTACGGGCCAGCGACTTACGGCCACCTTGCGACACATCAGGGCGACAAGATCCAAGAAGCTCTTGGAGAAGTACGCAGCTGGGGGCTTCCGAAAGATTTTGTTCAGGGATGAGAAAATCTTCACCATAGAAGAAAAATTCAACCGACAAAATGACAAAGTGTATGCAAGGAGTTAACAGGAAGCTTCGGAGATCATTCCGAGAGTTGAGAGAGGCCACCACCCTGCGTCAGTCATGGTTTGGTGGGGGGTGTCCTACGAAGGGGTCACTCAGCTCCATTTCTGTAAACAGGGCGTGAAAACAAAAGCGGCAAACTATCAGAGCGACATACTGGATCCTATCGTCAAGCCTTTAAGTGGTACATTGTTTGCCAACCAACACTGGGTCTACCAGCAGGATTCCGCCCCCGCTCACAAGGCTAAGAGTACGCAGCGCTGGCTGGAAAGCAATGTGCCAGAGTTCATTGCTGCGGAAGATTGGCCCTCAGGGAGTCCGGACCTCAATCCTTTAGACTACAAGTTGTGGGACCTGCTAGAGCAGTTGGCCTGCTCCAAAGCCCACCGTAATATCGAGTCCCTGAAAGCGGATTTGATCCGATCAGCGGCAGCTATTCCTTTGGAAGCTGTGCGTGCAGTGATAGATGAGTGGCCCGCGAGATTGAAGCAGTGTGTGAAGGCCAAGGGGGGACATTTTGAATAAAACTGTTTGATTATGAATTCTAAAAATGTTGTCGAATAAATAATATCTTTCATATAAATATATCTTATCTTGTTTCATTTTTATCATGAGATTATCATGGGACAGAACTTATGGCACGACTACGTATATATATATGATCCTTTTCTCTTTATATATATACGTGAGGAGTAGTCATTGCCATTGCCAACGACCAGTTGGGCAAAATACAATTAATTGTTAATTGGGAAATTGGCAAACTTTTTAGGCTTTAGTTAACTCTTTTGACGGTAATCTCTAGCTTTCGACAAATCTCTATGGATTGTGTTTTCAGCTCCTGATGAAGGCTCCATAAACATTTGCCGAAAGCTAGAGATTACCGTCAAAAGAGTTAACTAAATCCTAAAAGTTTTGAAATGCGTACGTCTTTCTGGTCCACCCTGTACAAGACCATTAGTTTTAATTCCTGGTTCACATTGAGTAAGGCTAAAATGGACAGGAACTGTTATAAAGTTTCAAGAGGAAATATATTATATTTTGAAAGGAAAAGTTTTAATTTTCGTATTTCAATATAGACCTACAAGATTTTTTCTGCTTTGTTTTTATTCACCTAGGTGATTGAAGTTTTAAAAAACCGTCTTTTTATTTGGTACCTCTTCTCTCTTACTTAAACTGTAGCCAAAATCATTCCAACGTGTTTTGCTATTCTTTGCTAGTAAAATACGTTCAATCAATCATAAACATTTTTGGATCATTTTTTTGTCACTCACAAACCTTGATTTTTGGATAAATGCGTGCAGATAACGAAAAATAATCCATATCTGTGAAATAAAACTGAA